TGCTGTGAAAAATTGCAACAATTGTTGTAAAAGATTGCAACATTGCTGATACCTTTTGTCCAGCATGGCGTGCCATACAAAATTATGTGAATTTCAATTAATATGTGGATTTCAAATTCAAATTCACATGTGAAAAAAATTTTATAACAAAATTTGGCATGTGGATTTTAGATACCCCAAACTTTATGTCGATTCCCCTACCAATTTCTTTTTTTCCCAGTTGCATTTTTTTTAACCATTTTTTTATATATGTGGAAGGGGAATTTTTAACAAAAAAAAGACATAAATAAACTTTCATTTAACAAATATAGGCTACCCTTGCTAGTTAATTGCTTATTTATTGTTAATACAATTTCTTCCAATTTATTTATACTAAATCATGACAATTTCAAATGTATATTTATGCTTTATTCTCAAAACTTATCTAAACAATTCCTTATGCTAAACAATACCTTTAGATTTCACACTATATATCCTGATAATGTTTCTTGATAGGTGCACTTCTAGCTGTTTTCCTCTTTACTACCAAGTCAGGTGCATTTCCCAAAACTACTAAATAAAACTCATTAAAGATTACCTCACTAAAAGAAAAGAAAAAAAGTAAAATCTGACAAACCAAGGCTAAAGTATAAAAGAGTAAAATCCAATGTACCAAGACAAATATTAAATATATTTTAAGATGTGCCAACTCAGGCAGATAACAAAGAACTGCTGAGAAAACATTATCAGAAGGGGGAATCAAAATTATTACAAGGATTAATAGACAAAGAGCTATTAATGATATTGATTAGAAAAGCAATTGCATTTGAGATATTTATAACAAAATTTCACTGATCAATATTTACAGGGTTGCATAATGTTAAGAACAGCTCTGAAGGATAGTAAATTTAACTTAACATTCCACAATTTAGAAATTTGATTTATCTTCTCACTAGTATGGTGGTCTTGTTTGTCTCAAGTTACATATTACATCACAATCTATTTCTCAAATGTGACTTGGAAAATTTCTAGTCATGGATAAATATGATAAAATCAAAACTTTATTACAACATAAAAAAAAAATAATTAAATTAAGTATTATACAATTCTATTAAAACATGGTTTTCCAGAATGGCAGCAAGTAGTACAATTTAAATTTTTCTTTTTGCATGGGCAAATCTTATTTCTACACCCTCTTTTGCAATTACAAATATAAATATTATTATCATCATTACCCTCATTATAAATACTTTGCAAACAAGCAGCTTCTCTAAGTGAAATTTTGTTTGTAGGTAAATTATCAAGCCCAGGTACATCTTGATTCTCCAATGGTTCCAATTCAGAAGATGAGTAACACATTTCAATTATTCCAAATTGACATGATAGTTGAAACATGTCATTATCTAAAATGTTTATTATTTTGCAAAATATAGAAATTCTATCTGTTGAATTTCTATCCTTTTTAGGTATTGATATTTTTACACATTCACCAATGCTATATTCTTTTTTTCTTTTGTTATTCTTAGTCATCTTTTTTTTTTCATATTGTTAGTGTAAATTTCAAGGTTTTTTCTTGCTTTTTCACGTGAAACACAATGAGCCCCATATTCTTTTCTAGTATTGCTGCTACTGCCATTATTATTGTTGTTATAGTTATTATTGTTGTCATTGTTATTATTATTGCTCTTACCATCATCATTGTCATTGCTGTTCTCATCATCATCATCATTGCCATTCTCATCATCATCATC